TTAGATGTTCCTGGTGCATGCCGTCTCTCTCCTCCTTTATAGTCCTCCTCTGCCAATCCCAACTCGGCTGCCCACACGCCGAGTACGCTGCTCTCCTCCAATCAGGAGCAAGTCCTACAGTTTATTGGCTGAACTGGAGGCAGCTGTGTAGAAGCTGTTTTCTCCTCTTCCAGCGCCATATTGTGGGAGAGCAGATGCATAGAATAAGTCTTAATTCCAGTAACTTAGTCTAGTCCGGGTTGCTCCCCACATGTATAAGGTCAATTAGAGCTTGAAGGTCAATAGGAAGACTACTCTGACGAGGTCTTTAAAACTTGTTGCTTTAGGGAGGTATAGACCTGGAAATAAAATTATATAAGTGTTAGCATAAGAACACCAAAAAAATCATGTATTTCTTGTAAAAATTTCTATTTTGTAGGGATTAGAGAGGTTTTAGGGGAAGGAGTTGGATTCAACACCAATATAGTTTTAAACAGGTTACTTTTTTTTTAACTTTTATTTAGTAAATATAAATTTCCAAACTACAGTTTATGGATTACAATGGCTTCCCCCCCATAACTTCCCTCCCACTTGCACCCCTCCCATCTCCCGCTCCCTCTCCCATTCCATTCACATCAAGATTCATTTTCAATTATCGTTATATACAGAAGATCGATTCAGTATATATTAAGTAAAGATTTCATCAGTTTGCACCCACACAGAAACACAAAGTGTAAAATACTGTTTCAGTACTAGTTATAGCATTACTTCACATTGGACAACACATTAAGGACAGATCCCACATGAGAAGTAAGTACACAGTGACTCCTGTTGTTGACTTACCAATTTGACATTCTTGTTTATGGCGTCAGTAATCTCCCTAGACTCTGGTCATGAGTTGCCAAGGCTATGGAAGCCTTTTGATTATGCTGACTTCGATCTTATTCGGACAGGGTCATAGTCAAAGTGGAAGTTCTCTCCTCCCTTCAGAGAAAGGTATTTAAGCAGGTTACTTTTAGTGGAAGTGTAACATGTTTGAAAAATGATGACAGCCAAATGGAGGAGAGTGGCTTTGGAAATGTGAGAATGAAAGGGGAATTATCTTTCACAAGCAATGCAGACAAGCTTGCGGAATAATTGAGAATGCAAAGATATTACAATACAATTTCTGGTTGATAACTGAGAGGGCAGTGGCACTGCTGCAGTTTGTTGCTGTCCCTAAGTGCATGGTGAAAGACCTGGAGATAGCAATGAGGAAGGTGATTTGTGATGTTGATGTTGCGGCTGGTTTCAGTGGCTAGAAAGGCAGTGTTTTTGTTGTTGTCAAGTGAAACGGGATTGGAAATACTTCTGTTTTTAGTACAAGACTGTTAAGTGCTGAGATAAAAATCATTTCTGTCTTCAACAGATTTGGTCAGTAGAATTAAATAAAGTGGAGGCTCTTTCAAAAACATCCTAAGAGGATACAAAACCTCTTCATATTCTTATAGCTGTAGACACTGATTTCAATCTGTATTCTAGCAGTGAGGGGAGACATTGAGGCATCAAATATCTTATGTATTGTTTATCAAAATTAGAAAATGTGGCCATTAGGCAGGTGCTGCGGCTTACTAGGCTAATCTGCCTGCGGCGCCAGCACACTGGGTTCTAGTCCTGGTCGGGATGCCGGATTCTGTCCTGGTTGCTCCTCTTCCAGTCCAGCTCTCTGCTGTGGCCCAGGAGTGCAGTAGAGGATGGCCCAAGTGCTTGGGCCCTGCAGCTGCATGGGAGACCAGGGGAAGCACCTGGTTCCTGGCTTCGGATCAGCGTGGTGCACCAGCCGCAGCACGCTGGCCGCAGCGGACATTGCGGGGGGTGAACCAGTGGAAAAAGGAAGACCTTTCTCTGTCTCTCTCACTGTCCACTCTGCCTGTCCAAAAAAAAAAAAAAAATGTGGCCATTAAAGGGACAAAGAACAGTGGCATGTATTCAAGAAAAGAGTGCCTTAAGAGAGAAGCAGTGCTCTCTCTGTGAAGGGGCGGAGACTCCTGCTTTCTGCCTTCCGTTTCCCAACTCTCTCTGCTTAGATGAAGATATAGTTACATATATTTATAAACTACAGCAGATCATTTGATTTAGAAATAAGGATAGGATAAAATATGTTGATGTATAGCCTGTATGCTGTATCATGATAGTGTTCTGTTTTGCAAATGTCCATACATGGAGTTAGCGCCTATTGGCTGACTATCCATGAAGCTCCAGTATTCACATTGCAAAGAAACTTGCAATTTTACTAATAAAACCACATGCACCCCCCCCCCATAAATTTTCAGGGGCAAAATAAAAGAGAAACTAGAAGAAAAGAAGGATTCATCACAGTATCATCAGATACTATATAGATTTGTGAGTGGTTAGATGTGTATTTCCTTTTCATCATGAGGAGGATAAAATGGAGTAAAAGTTTTCTGTGTTAACACTGCTTTTTGCCATGGTATTTTCCAAAGTAACAATTGTTTGATTGTTTGAGTACTTTAAATATTGCTATGTTTAAAGAGTTATTTATTGTGTAAAATGCTTCAAACATATAGAAAAGCAAAAATAAGAATATAGTGCATATACAGGTGTTCAATACTCATATTTAACACAAATGTGATGAACACCAAGTACCTACCACCCATATTTAATAAATACCATAATTTTATTTTTTGATTTTTTTAAAAAAAGGTAGAGTTACAGAGAGAAGGAGAGACAAAGAGAGATAGAGATCTTCCATCCACTGGTTCTCTTCCCAAATGACCACAAAAGCCAGGGCTGTGCCAGGCTGAAGCCGGGAGCTTCTTCTGGGTCTTCCATGTGGGTGCAGAGGCCTAGAGACTTGGGCCTTCTTTTGCTGCTTTCCTGGGCCAATTAGCAGAGGCTGGATTGGAAGTGGAGCATCTGGAACTGGAACTAGTGCCCATATGGGATGCTGGGGTTGCGACTATCTACTGTACCACAGTGTCAGCCCTTGATTTTGTCTTTAAATCAAAAACTTAACATTTTGGTTTGAGTTGAACACACATCTCCTTTAACCTTCTCCAAATGTAAATTTGCTTTCTATGAGACTGCAAATTAATCCTTGTTATACTGGTTCATGAGTTTAAATAATTTTAGAGAAGATTTTAAAACTTTAGGAATGATTAATTTATTTTCAAAGTCAGTTGTTTGAAAATAGGAATATGTTATTTGCAAAACTAGTATTTGACAGTTTTGTACTGTGGGAAATTTTCCTTGTGCTTAGCCTTCATGTATTTAGTTTTTTTTTTTTTTTTTTTTTACCATGAAACATTCTGTAAAAAGAACTTTAGTACCAACCATTACTGTTTTTTCCTTTGAGTGGATTTGTTAGAATTTGTCATTATAAATTATTTCAGTGATATTTAAAGCATTTTTTAAAGAAGCAAACATTTTTAGAATTAAACACATACATTTTAAACATAGGAACTTTTGAAAATATTCTAAAATATACTATCAACTTCAGCATTCATCTCCTTTTCACATGGATGCAATGTGAAAACAGCCATTGCAATTATGTGTGTATGTATATACAGAAGGTACATCCCACAGATATACACCTCTCTCATACACACACACACAGAGAAGGCTTTAAAAAATTGGTATAAATGTGCATTATCCACTTTTCCACATTTCTTTTTTAATTTTGAGAGGCAAAGAAATAGATGGATGGAGGGATGGATAGAGCGATCAAGATATAGATTTCCTATCTTCTAGTTTACTTGCCAAATACTTGCAATAGCGGGAGTTGGGCTGAGGCCAAATCTGGGAGCTGAGAACTCAATGCAGCTCTCCTATTTGGGTGGCAGGAGCCCAATAACATGTACCATCACCACTGCTTCCCAGGATCTGCCTTAGCAAGAAGTTGGAGTCAGGAGATGGAAGCAGGTATCAAATCCAGGGACTCCAAAGTTGAGATGCAGGTAACTTAAAAACTAAGCCCAGTGTTTGCCCCTTTCACAGGTTTTTGAAGCCCTCTCCATAATATATGTTTACCCAAATACCTGTATTACTTATGTATATCACTCTTTCATGGAGATTCATAAAATTTAAAATGAAACCATATTTTTCCTTTAAATCATGCTATTTGTTATAGTTTTCAAATTTTCAAATTTATTTTTAGCTTATTTGAATGACAAAGAGACAGAGTTTTCAAACCGTGGTTCACTCGTCAAGGTCCCTTAACGGTTATGGCTGAATCAGGCTGAAGCCAGGAGCCTGGAACTCAGTCTGCCCTCATGTGAGCAGCAGGTACCCAAACACTTGAGCCATCACTGCTGCCTTAAAGTGTGTGTATAAACAGGAAGCTGAATCAGACTCCAACCGAGGCACTCAGATATGGGAAGCAGGCATCCCAAGCAGCACTTTAACACTGTACTGAATGCTCGCCCCTATTTATGATTGTTTGTGGCTGATATAATTATTTTTATTTACTTTTTTTACATAGAATGTTCTTTTTCTACTCCAACATGTCTAACTATGTTTGTTTCCACACATTTGAGTATGTCACCTTGGAGGGGGAAGTAATGCTTTGTTAATTTAAGAAATTAGCAATATGTTTGTAATTTAACAGGCCTACTTTGGGCTGTATGACTAAAAACTGTTTATTAGTCATCAATAGAGTAGATATAATTGATTAGTGGAATATAATAAATTAAAAGTCATGTTTTATTGCCTATGTTTTTCTGTTTCTGAGAGTAATTAGAATTTGAGTAAACCAAAGGCAAACAATAACAAAATTAACATGAAATTACATATTGATTCTTATCTTTTATTTTCCTTAAAATGTAGGATTTTGTGTTCTCTGAGACTCATTGGTTATATTTTAATATGATGACACATTTTATATTTTAATGTAAATCACAATAATTTGGTCTATATTTTATGCTTTGCATGAGGAGAGAAATCATTTCAGAGGGTATCTTTCATGTTTTGAAAATGGCTTTTACTCTATCATCTCAGTGACTGTTGTTTTCTATTATTTCTAGATACAAGAGTGGCTCTGTTTAAACTGTCAGATGCAGAGAGCTCTGGGAGGTGATCTGGCTCCCCTTCCATCTTCACCGCAGCCCAAACCACAGACTGCCCCTGTTTCTTCTCCAGCAGCACCGAGAAAGACATCCCCACCATCACAGCAGAGTTCCCCAAAGAAGGCTACTGCACCCAAAGAGGATATCCCAAAGGCTCCCGAATCTAAAAAGCCGCCACCACTAGTGAAACAGCCAACCCTTCATGGCTCTCCCCCAGCCATGACCAAGCAGCTCCCTGTGGCAGAGTCCTCGTCCAAGCTGGCCACTCCCAAAGAACCTTCTGTCCCATTGGAACAGGCCAAGGCCCCTGCTGATGCTGATAAATCAAAGCATCCCCAAACAGTGCAGCCACCCACAGGTGTTGATGCTTTGTCATCAGCAACAACAGCACCTGATACCCTGAGCTCCAAAGTGCAATCAGAGAGTCCAGTGAAAACAGCCCCTCCTCCAAAAACAGACTCTGCCAAACCTTCTCAAAGCTTTCCACCAACAGGGGAAAAAGTCACTCCATTCGATTCTCAGGTCATCCCTCGACCTGCATCAGATTCAAAACTTACTTCACATCCGGGGCCTGGTTCAGAGAGCAAAGGTCAAAAACAAGTTGATCCAGTTCAAAAGAAGGAAGAACCTAAGAAGGCACCAACCAAAATGAGTCCTAAACCAGATGCCAAGCCAATGCCAAAAGGGTCACCTGCAGCTGCTGGCTCACGACCTACCACTGGCCAAACTGCCCCTGCATCTCAGCAGCCCCCAAAGCCTCAGGAGCAGGCAAGGCGTTTCAGTCTGACCCTGGGAAGTATTACTGATGCTCCTAAGTCACAGCCCACAACCCCTCAAGAAACCGTGACTGGGAAACTCTTTGGGTTTGGAGCATCAATCTTCAGCCAGGCATCAAATTTAATTTCCACAGCTGGCCAGCCTGCACCTCACTCACAAGGTGGGCCAGGGGCCCCAACTAGACAAGCCCCTTCCCCTTCACAGCCACCTGCTTCTCAGGGGCCACCCAAATCCACAGGTCAGGCACCGCCATCACCTGCAAAGGTTACACCTGGGAAAAAGGAATCAAAAGCTCCAGTAGCAGAAAAATCAGCACCTAAAACAGAGCAGTCTCCAGCAGTTAAAAGAACAGAAGCAGAAAAGCAGCCCCCAGCAACTAAGGATAGCAAACCTTCAGCAGCAGCTGGGCCTCCAAAAACTGTCCTTCCTCCTGAACCCAAGAAAGTCCCCAAGCCAGAATCAGCCTGTCCTCTCTGCAAAACTGAACTCAACGTGGGATCACAGGACCCTCCCAACTTCAACACTTGCACTGAGTGCAAGAAACAAGTATGCAATCTCTGCGGGTTCAACCCCACACCACACTTGACTGAGGTAAGCAGTTCATGTTACGTGGGAATGTGGGTATGCGTCTACTCTGAAATCTTTTGATGAGCAAATTTCTGAGCAAAATGTACGTATCCAGTGAAGAAAACAAATGAATGTTGATATCTTTGAAGAAGTTTCAATGGCTTATTGTGTGCCTGCCTTCTTGGGAATTTGTGTTGTTTGTACTTTTATGGGCTAGTGATGCACCCTAAGTAAGAAGATGAAATTAGCTGATAAAATAATGGGTCTTAATGCTTCATGAGTTAAAGACCCATTGTTTTGGACGATTAGTTGGTTTTCACAAAAGAACTCCAAATAAGAGCTGTAATTAACTGTTTCCACGATCTCTAATCCTTCTAGACACTAATATATTACAAAGAGATAGAGTATCTGGTCAGATCCATAAATGATATGAAATCTGTTATACAAAAACTTAGACTTTGTGTAAGTTAACAGTGTTGCTTAGCAGAAAACATATCATGGGTATGCTTCTTATAATTCTATTTGAGATATTGTCTGATAATATAATAGAGCACTTTACAAGGAACTGTGAAAATAAAAAATACATGGGTTTTTGTACTAATGTGAACAATTTAAAACATTCTTTTTCTCCACAATGTAAATGAACAAAAGGTAGATGGTGAATTTCTACCTAATGTAGTCAAAGAATGCATCCATAGATATCAGTGGCATGTTAGAACTGTTAGACTTTTGGATCTTGGGACATGGAGGGTAGGGATGGCAAACAATCACTGATGTCTTAGATAAATTTAAAAAAAATGAACATTTGGGAATTAAATTAAAATAACTTTATTGCTTTTATAAAAATTAGAATTTCTTAAGGAACAATTCACTTCACTATCCTTGATTTTGTAATTCTTTAGAACAGAGAAGTTGAATGTATTTTATAGCATGTATATAAAGGAAGCATCAGAATTCGGTTTTGGTAGTGTTTTTGCATTAAATGATTTTTTAAGGAATAAACTATAGAACAATTTTGTATTTTACTTTAAAAAGACATTAGATTGATTTGTCCTACCTGTTAACCATATGAAAGTGTGATAAATAATGTTTTCTGAGATCCATTTTAAAGTAGATAAATTTTGATTTCTGTCAATATGTCACAAGTGATAAAACTATAATAGTTATTACAGATTTTTGGATTCAATGTAAATGCAGAACAAAAAGCAAACCTTAAATTATTTTATAATTTTTAGCAGATTGGTTCTTTGGTTGTGTTTCATGAAGAAGAAACATTTTTTTTTCTTTTTTTTTTTTTGATTACTTGTGTATTTACCTTTATTGGGATCTTTTTATTTCTTTACATACCTTGAGTTAATATCTGCTGTCTTTTCATTTCACTTTTGGTACTCCCTTGAGCATTTCTTGTAGGTACAATGGTAATGAACTCCCTCAGCTTTTGTTTACTTGAAGATGACTTCATTTGTTCCTCTATTTATTTATTTATTTGGCAGATAGAGTTACACAGTGAGAGAGACAGAGAGAAAGGTCTTCCTTCTCTTGGTTCAGCTCCCAAATGGCTGCTATGGCTGGAGCTACGCCAATCCAAAGGCAGGAGCCAGGTACTTCTTCCTGGTCTCCCACACGGGTGCAGGCGTCCAAGTACTCAGACCATCCTCCACTGCCTTCCCGGGCCACAGCAGAGAGCTGGACTAGAAGAGGAGCATCTGGGACTAGAACCAGGCGTTCATATGGGATGCCGGCGCCGCTGGCTGAGGATTAACCAAATGAGCCACAGTGCCAGCCCCTTTCTCACTTTTTAAAAATACTTGTTTATTTGAAAGGAAGACTTAGAGATGGAGAGAGAGAGAGAGAGAGAGACACCTTCCATCCCCTGGTTCACTCCCTAGATGGCTCCAACACCCAGGACTGGGTCAGGCAGAAGCCAGGAGCTTCATTCAGGTCTTCCATGTGGATGGCAGGGGCCCAAACATTGGGCCATCTCCACTGTTTTCCCATTAGCACAGAGCTGGATCTAAGCAGCCGGGACACGAACTGGCGCGCATCTGAGATACCGTCACATGCAGAGGCTTTACCTGCTACATAGCCGCAATGATGGCCCCAGAAAAAAAATTTTTTTTCTTGTGTATCTATTTCACTTATTTAAAATAATTGTACTCTTTTTTGAGGAGACGGAGTATCAACACAGTGCAGTTAATTTAAATAGTTATAAAACAAACTGTACCACTAAAAACAAAACTAATTTCTGTGTTTAAAATATATTTTCTGTAGTGTACTGGGAGTACTATAACATAGAATGTTCTAAGGTAAGGAATATCATGTGAACTTGTGTATACTGTATTTGTATTCCTACCTGTAACTTGTATTCTGCATGTGTATGTATACACGTGGACCCTAGTGATTGAAATCCTGTCATTGTTGAAAAGTATGAAATGAGAACTGCTTGAGTAGAGAGAGATGATAGACCTTCCTGGGGAATCTTTGATTTTCTGAATGTTGGTAGGTTTTATGTTGAAAGTGGTAGTTTGAAAAGGAGATTTCTTGAATGAACCACAGAATAACCAAGGACATGCCTGAGATTTTAATGAGTTGGATATAAATTGTCTGAAATAGTTAGATGATTTAAGTGAGGTACTGCCTTGAAGTGGGATTTAGACAGTTTGTCACTATCCTAATTATTATGCTGTATGGCAATGTCTTTTAATTTGAAACATCATAGTTTAGAAGGAAAGAAAGTCTGATCTAATGAAATGACCAGTGTTTATGGCTCATCCTAACTGTACTGATCCGTAAAATGTTTTCAGTTAGTATAAGGATTTCAAGTAACCTCTGGTTTCAAGGTAAGTCCACTGACTAGCCTGGCATCAAGGGTGTGCAAGCATCTGAGCTGAGTTAACCCATGTTTCTATTATTATTATTATCATTAGATAGACTTTGGCACATGGTGGAAGAAGTTAGTTGAAAAGAATGGTGCGTGTTTGCATATGTATGTGTATATATGTGCATATGCATATGTTTGTATATCATATAAACATTCCTATTTTACACACACACACACACATATAGGAGTATATATATCCAGCAAATTTTAAGTATGATTGATGGGCGTAATTCGTGCTGTAATTCCGGTGTTCCTGTTAAGTCTTTTTTCACTTCCCTCAGTTGGAAGTTAGGAAAGCGTCTCCTCTTTAATCCTGGTCTCTCTTTTCTTCATTCTGATGGTGTTGTTTTTCTTGTGATCCAGCATTTTCTACTTCTTTCTTTACTGTACATTGGTGTTCATTTCAAAAGGGACATTCTGAAAATTGTTGGATTTTGTATTATTTTAAGAAATAATATTCCAGATTTCCATACATTTTCTAATAAAACCTACTTTTGTATTACAAGCCTCTGCTGCTCCTATACCAGCTGCTATGAAACTGGACTTTCTTTCCTGTTGGGGACACCAAAAAGGGATGGGGGTGTATCGTGTGTGTGTGCATGTGCATGCACACATGTACACATGTCCCCCCCCCCCCCATCCTCCACTACTATTTTGTTCCTGTGGTTTGTCATGAGTTGGGGAGCTGGAGCCAGTATCCCTCTTCCCCCACTTGTTAATGAAATAGACCTGTCTCTAAATTTGTTTCTGGTCTCCTTCTCTTTTATACAACATCCCTCAGTGCACCTGAGGAGGCTGAGGGCTGGCTGCCTGTTGGCCAGGAGGGGGTGAATGAATACCAGCTTTACAGTTTGTTTGATGCCCAGTTTGTATAAATGACACTACAATCCATCAGCCTCTGATAGCAAGGGGCAGTTCTTTTATAGGCTTTAATTTCTGCCAATTCAGGGAATCTTTTGTCTTAGAATAAGTTTTTTAAATTTTTAAAAATCTTTTTAACCTTTATTTAATAAATATAAATTTCCAAAGTACAACTTTCGGATTATAGCGGCTTTTCCCCCTATAACCTTCCTCCCTCCCGCAACCATCCCATCTCCCACTCCCTCTCCCATCCCATTCTTCGTCAAGTTAGAATAAGTTTTAAAAGTGGTAGTAGGGCTTTCTGAAAGAGATACTTTTACAGAATTTCAAATGCTTTCAAAGCACTCTGAGAAAAATAGCCCAAGTTGTTCAGGCACTAATAATCCTACTTGTATTTGAGTGCAAAAGAATTCAAGATGCTCATAGTGGGTATTTAACTATCTTTCCACACTTTCTAATGTGACATTTTACTATGAAATAAGACTTAAAACTATGTTACCTTGTATTTCAGGAAATCCTAGCATCAGAAATTTGCTTCCATGGCAAGATAATTATGCACAGTGTAAATGATGTAGAAATCACCAAGCATATATTTGTCACTAGGCAACAGATGAATCTTTTTGCTCTGATTAACATACATTGGTGAAACTTGTGACCTCTCAGATCTTCGCTGTAGCTGAAGAGTTGGGCTGGGGGGAAGGTGGGGAAGCGCTTCTGGGTTCTTCAGCAAATTTGAAAGATGGCCTGCCCAGTGGAGATGTGTGACCTTTGTGTTTGGCAAACACAAGTTAGTGTCACTTTACTTTAATAATAATTAGTTAATGCTTTAAAAAGCATACATCCAATAATTAAAGGTCTGTAAGGACCAAGCCTCCCACTCCTGCCCCAGGAAACTTTAAAGGCTACAAGAATGATCAAAAAGAAAAAGAAGCTACGAATAGTCAGTTTCAAAAGAATTATATCATAGAGTTCTTTGTGCTATGTGGAAATTTCTAGCTTCTAGTTCCCTAGGCAAAGAGAGGACAGCTGGTATCACTTTGCGATTGTCAGAAAATGCAGATCAGCAGGTCTCTAGAAAAATATTTCAATCATTAACTTCTGGAGAAATTTGATATGCCACTTTTTTATTGGTCAGTATTTATTAAACATGTTCAAATAGGGTTTAAGTAAAGAGATGTTTCTGTTTAAACAAATTTAAACAAAAATGTAATTTATCCCATGGGTATCCATTTTTGAATGCATATTTATATAGTTCATATTCTATTCATATGGAAATTCTGTA